AATTCAACAATGCTGGAGGGAGTTGATATTCTTCATCATCATTCTACATATATCAAAAAAATTAATTGCATGCATTATTCATCAAATTTAATATAGTCATATACTTTATCTATATATATATAAAATGCTACCCTATGCATTAAATAGGGTAAGCATTTTACATATACCTTTTGTTTTTATTCGGGACTTTATTGCATTTTCTTGAACAGTTATTTTTTTTAGAATTTATGGCTGCACAATAAGCAATAAATAATGATTGTTATGATAAATAAAAAATTTATTAGTAAAAAATAACTAAAAATAGTTTACATATACCTTTTGTTATTTTTTGGGACGTTATTGTATCTTCTTAAACGGTTATTTTTTTTAGAATTTATGGCTGCACAATAAGTAATAAATTATGATTGTTATGATAAATAACAAATTTATTAATAAAAAAATAACTGAAAATAGTTTAAATAAATGATATATTAATTATTAACTTTTAATATCTATATATATATTTATATGCTCAGCCTAATCCAAATTCTTCCTTCCCCAGCACCCTCAAAACCTCGTCTTGAGCACACGTCCGGGTGGTGTTGAATGTCAGAGAATAAACTGAGCCTTGGCTTGACGCTCACATTTTGAGAAATGGACGCATCGTTGCCCAGCTTCACCGCATGAGCCCCACGGGGGATTGCAAAGTAAAACCCACCGAGGTACAGTCCGCCTGAGACGTAGTCCACTAAGCCTTGGATTTTCCACTCCGGGAGTGAGTACTTTCCTTCGATAATTGTTTTCTTGAGGTCTTAATTTTTGGGTGTTTGCTCAAAGTTATCACTTTTTAGAAGTCCCAGCAAAGAGAAGGCAAGGAACTTGAAAAATCACTCACTTGAGTGTATAAAACACCTAAAACCAAACTCTGATTTCTCATTCATTGGCGCAATAATTTTATGTTTAGCAAAAAAAAATTTTGTTTTTCAAATCCGATGGATTTGCTTGGGTGTGGTAGGTTGTATGGGAAGCTGAGGTATGTGAACCGGTTGGATTGATTCACCTGTTTTTGTCTACTCCATGAGATGCATCTCCTAGGATAGAAACAAATTCTCGCCCCCCCC